TCCATAGAAGCTTCAATTTCCAGCCGGATTCCAAACTAGAGGAAGTCTAGGACAGAGAAGAGAGGGGAAAGGAGAGTGTTGGTGCTTTACACTTTACATAGGCCTGAACTGTACTTCCAACACAGCTTAAATCAACACACTGCACAAATACTAATGAAGACAAATACCATATCATTCTTTTTTCATCTTCAGCCTTGTTTTCATAATCTTGATAGCACGCTTGCTGCCCTCTTTTAATCATTTTTATGACTGTCAGACAAGGCAATCAAAAATCACATGAAATCCCTAATTGCCACTGTGAATAAAAATGTGAGTAAAAAAAAAGTTATTCATGAATGTGAGCCTTAGAACAATGATAATGAGGAGTGATTAGTGTGATTAAACACCTGCTGAGGGAGACAGGGGTGGACCAGGCATGAGTCGACCTGCATAAATAAGACAATCTTGTCTGCGTTCCAAATGGCAACCATTTCCCTATGTAGCGCACTATGTTTAACTAGAGCCTTATGGGCCATGGTCAAAAGTAGTGCACTACATAGGGAATAGGGTGCCAAATTGTCAAAGACTCCAGTCACCCAAGTCATAGACTGTTCTCTCTGCTACCGTATGGCAAGCGGTACCTGAGCGCCAAGTCTAGGTCCAAAAGGCTCCTTAACAGCTTCTACCCCCAAGCCATATGACTGCTGAACAATTAATCAAATGGCAACCCAGACTATTTGTTTTTACACTGCTGCTACTCGCTGTTTATTATCTATGCATAGTCACTTTACCCCTATCTAATGTAATCCAAATGGCCACCCTTGGACTAATTGTTTTACCACCTGCGCACTCCGGTATGTATTTCCCCCTTTTTCCTTGGGGGTTTTTTTTCCCCCCCCCCCGAGGGGTTTTGGGGGGGGGGGGGGGGGGGGAAAAAAAAAAATTTTTTTTCTTTAAAAAAAAACCCCCAATTTCCCCCCAAAAAAAAAAGAAAAAAAAAGGAAAAAAAATTTTTTTTTCCCTTTTTTGGGGGGTTTTCTTTTTTTCCCAAAAAAATTTTTTTTTAAAAGGAAAAACCCTATAAATTTTTTTTTCCCTTAAAAATTTTTTAAAAAAAAGCCCTTTTTTTTAAAAAAAAAATGAAAAAGGGAATTAAAAAAAGGGGGGAAAAACCCCCCAAAAAAAAAAAAAAAAAGTTTTTTTTCCCCAAAAAAAATTTTGGGGGGGGTTAAAACCCCGGGGGGGGGGGGGGGAAAAGGGTTTAAAAAAAAAATTTTTGGGCCCCCAAAAAAATTTTTCCCCTTTTTTCCCCCCCCAAAAAAAAAAGGCCCAAAAAGGGCCAAAAAGGGTTTTTTTCCCCAAAAAAAACCCCTTCCCCCTTTTTTAAAAACCAAAATTTTTTTTTGGTGGGGGAAAAAAATTTTTTTTCCCCCCCCAAAAAAAAATTTTTCCTTTAACCCAAAAACCCCCCTTTTTTTTTCCCCTTTTTTTTTTTTTCTTTTTAATTTTTTCCCCCCTTTTTTTTTTTTAAAAATTTTTTTAACCCCCCCCTTTTGGAAATTTTAAAAAAATTTTTTTTTTTTTTAATTTTTTATTTTTAAAAAATTTTTTTTTTTTTTAAAAAAAACCTTTTTTTTAAAATTTTTAAAAAGGGGGGGGCCCCCTTTAAACAAAATTTTTTTTTTTTTTAAAAAATTTTTTTTTTTGGGAAAAATTTTTTTTTTAAAAAATTTTGGGGGGGGAAAAAAAGGGGGTTGTAAAGGGGGAAAAAGGGAGAAATTGGGAAAGGGGGGGGGAAAAAAAAGGGGGGGGGGAAAGGGGGGGAAAAAAGTGGGGAGGGGAAAGGGGGGGGGGGGGGGGAAGGGGAAAAAGGGGGGGGGGGAGGTTAAAAAGAGAGGGGGAAAAGGGGGGGGAGGGGGAAAAGGGGAAGGGGGGGGGGGGAAAGGGGGGTTTTTTTTGGGGGGGGGGGGTTTTTTTTTTAAAAAAAAAATTTTTTTTTTTTTGGGGGGGGCCCTTTTTTTTTTTTTTTTTTTTTTTGGGGGGGGTTTTTTTTTTTTTTTTTGGGGGGGGGGGGTTTTTTTTTTTTTTCCCCCCCTTTTTTTTTTTTTTCCCCCCCCCTTTTTTTTTTTTTTTTTTTTTTTCCCCCCCCCCCCCCCTTTTTTTTTTTTTTTTTTTTGGGGGGGGCCCCCTTTTTTTTTTTTTAAAAAAAATTTTTTTTTTTTGGGGGGGGGGGGGGGGGGGGGGGGGGGCCCCCCCCCCCCCCCCCCCCCCCCCCCCCCCGGGGGGGGGTTTTTTTGGGGGTTTTTTTTTTTGGGGGGGGGGGGTTTTTTTTTTTTTAAAAAAAAAAAGGGGGGGGGGCCCCCCTTTTTTTTTTTTTTTTTTTTTTTGGGGGGGGTTTTTTTTTTTTGGGGGGGGGGGGGGGGGGGGGGGGGGGGGTTTTTTTTTTTTTTTGGGGGGGGGGAAAAAAAAAAAAAAAACCCCCCCCCCCCCCCCCCCCCCTTTTTTTTTTTTTTTTTTTTTCCCCCCGGGGGGGGGGGGGGGGGCCCCGGGGGGGGGGGGGGGGGGCCTTTGGGGGGGGGGGGGGGGGGTTTTTTGGGGGGGGGGGGGGGTTTTTTTTTTTTGGGGGGGGGGGGGGGTTTTTTTTTTTTTTTTTGGGGGGGGCCCCCTTTTTTTGGGGGGGGGGGGGGGGGTTTTTTTTTTTTTTTTTTTTTTTTTGGGGGGGGGGGGGGGGGGGGGGGGGGGGGGGGGTTTTTTTTGGGGGGTTTTTTTTTTTGGGGGGGGGGGGGGTTTTTTTTTGGGGGGTTTTTTTTTTTTTTTTGGGGGGGGGGGGGGAAAAAAAAAAATTTTTTTTTTTTTTGGGGGGGGGGGGTTTTTTTTTTTTTAAAAATTTTTTTGGGGGGGGGGGTTTTTTTTTTTTTTTTTTTTTTTTTTGGGGGGGGGGGGGGGGGGGGGGGGGGGGGGGGGGGGGGGGGGGGGGGGGGGGTTTTTTAAAAAAATTTTGGGGGGGGGGGGGGCCCCCCCCCGGGGGGGTTTTTTTTGGGGGGGGGTTTTTTTTTTTTTTTTTTTTTGGGGGGGGGGGGGGGGGGGGGGGGGGGTTTTTTTTTTTTTTGGGGGGGGGGTTTTTTGGGGGGGGGGTTTTTTGGGGGGGGGGGGGGGGGGGGGGGGGTTTTTTTTTTTTTTTTTGGGGGGGGGGGTTTTTGGGGGGCCCCCCCCTTTTTTTTTGGGGGGCCCCCTTTTTCCCCCTTTTTTTGGGGGGGGGGGGGGGGGGTTTGGGGGTTTTTTTTTTTTCCCCCCCCCCCCCCCCCCTTTTTTTTTTTTTTTTGGGGGGGGGGGGGGGGGGGGGGGCCCGGGGGGTTTTTTTTTTTTTTTTTTTTTTTTAAAAAAAAAAAAAAGGGGGGGGGGGGGTTTTTTTTTTGGGGGGGGGGGGGTTTTTTTGGGGGGCCCCGGGGGGGGGGGGGGGTTTTTTTTTTTTTGGGGGGGGGGGGGGGGGGGGGGGGGGGGTTTGGGGGGGGGGTTTGGGGTTTTTTTTGGGGGGGGTTTTTTGGGGGGGGTTTTTTTTTTTTTGGGGGGGGGGGTTTTTTTGGGGGGGTTTTGGGGCCCCCTTTTTTTTTTTTTTTTTTTTTTTTTTTTTTTTTTTTTTTTTGGGGGGGGGGGGGGGGGGTTTTTTTTTTTTTTTTGGGGGTTTTCCCCCCCCCGGGGGGGGGGGGGGGGGGGGTTTTTTTTTTTTTTTTTTTAAAAAAAAAAAAAACCCCCCCCCCCCCCTTTTTTTTTTTTTTTTTTTGGGGGGAGAGGGGGGTAAAAAAGGGGGGGGGGGGGGGTTTTTGGGGGGAAAAAGGGGGGGGGGGGGGGGGGGAAAAAAGGGGGGGGGGAAAAAAAAAAAGGGGGGGAAAAAAAGGGGGTTTTAAAAAAAAAGGGGGGGGGGAAAAAAGGGGGGGGGAAAAAAAAAAATTTTTTTTTTTTTTTGGGGGGAAAGGGGGGGAAAAAAGGGGGGGGGAAAAAACCCCCCCGGGGGGGGCCCCCCCCTTTTCCCTTTTTTAAAAAAAAAAAAGGGGGGGGGGCCCCCCCAAAAAGCCCGGGGAAAAAAAAATTTTTTTTTTTAACATTTAAAATTTTTTTTTCCCCCCCGGGGGAAATTTTAAAAATTTTTTTTTTTTTTTTTTTGGGGCCCCCCCCCCCCCCCTTTTGGGAAAAAAATTTTTTTTTAAAAAATTTAAAAAAAAAAAATTTTTTAAAAAAGGGGAAAAATTTTTTTCCCCCCCCCCCCCGGGGGTTGGGGGGGATTTTCCCCCGGTTTTTTTCCCCCCCCCCCCCTTTTTTTGGTTAAAAGCCCCCCCAAAGGGGGAAAAAAAGGGGGGGCCCCCTTTTTAAACCCCCCCAAACCCTTTTTTTTAAAAAAGGAAAAAAAAAAAAGGGGTTTTTTGGGGGGGAAAAAAAAAAATTTTAAAATTTTTTTGGGTTTTTTTTTTAAAAAGGGGGGGGGGAAAAATTTTTAAAAAAAAACCTTTTTTTTTCCCCTTTTAAACCCTTTTGGGGGGAAAACCCAAAAAAAACCCCCCTTTTTTTTAAAGGGGGAAAGGTTTTTCCCCCCGGGGGGAAAAAAAGGCTGTAATGTAACCCTGAGAGAACAAGTCACTTTAACTTATCAACAGGCAACTGACTCCTGTTTTCCTCCCTCTCCTTTCCCCGGTATGACAAGCCTCGATCTACGATCTCTGCTGAATTGCAACAGGGGCCTTTAGACCGCGCACAGGACTCAAGCAAGTCTGATGAACAAAGGGATAGACATATCCAAAAGAGAAGATTATGGATTTTTTGATAATTTCTTTTGTAATGCATAAAAAAAAAAAAATCTGTATTGATGTAATATCATGTCAAGTATTTATTATTTATATCAAGACATCCCTCAGTTAAGACTAGAATGGTATGGTTGTATGTATGATGTATCCATCATGTTTTCCCCTCTCCTCATTCCTCTTCCCCCAGGTTGATTGACAAGCCCGTCGTCTAATCAAATCGTCGCCATGATTGCAACAGGGGGCCTCCTGCGTATCAACCGGCGCCAGGACTCCCAGAACCAAGCTGAGAACAAGAGGAGGAAACAAGCCAAGAGAAAGAAGAACGATGTGGTGGTGGTGGGTAGCATGATGGACTACAATACCCATAATGCTTTGTGTATTGTTTCTAGTTTAGAACGATGTGGTGGTGGTGGGTAACATGATGGACTACAATACCCATAATGCTTTGTGTATTGTTTCTAGTTTAGAACGATGTGGTGGTGGTGGGTAGCATGATGGACTACAATACCCAAAATGCTTTGTGTATTGTATCTGGTTTAGAACGATGTGGTGGTAGTAGGGTAGCATGTTGGACTATAAAAACCATCATGCTCTGTACTACAGTACCCATAATGCTTTGTGTATTGTATTTAGTTTAGAACGATGTGGTGGTGGTAGGTAGCATGATGGACTACAATACCCATATTGCTTTGTGTATTGTATCTAGTTTAGAACGATGTGGTGGTGGTGGGTAGCATGTTGGACTACAGTACCCATAATGCTTTGTGTATTGTATCTAGTTTATAATGATGTGGTGGTGGTGGGTAGCATGTTGGAATAAACTAGAGAAGATAAAAATGATTCTTTAGTTTTTAATTTTCTCGATTTCTAAAGGCACAACCTAGATTTAAGCCAATGCATAGTTCGGCGCAACGCGACCGTTAGACCCGATGACGTGTTTCTGCGCATGAGCTTAGCTAGCTCACGTCACCATGACATTGCCTACAAGTGTGATCGGGAATTTCAATTGGAGAAGCAGTTACTAGGCATCTTTATACTAAACCATCTTTGACTATGTGGTGGTGGTGGTGGGTAGCATGGCGTACTAAACTACATTACCCATAATGCTCTGTGTATTAAGAATTTGTCCATAGCAGTAGGAGAATTGTACAGTTGTTTGAAGTACAGTAGACCAACATACAGTTGAAGTCAGAAGTTTACATACACCTTAGCCAAATACATTTAAACTCAGTTTTTCACAATTCCTGACATTTAATCCTAGTAAACATTCCCTGTCTTAGGTCAGTTAGGATCACCACTTTATTTTAAGAATGTGAAATGTCAGAATAATAGTAGAGAGAATGATTTATTTCAGCTTTTATTTCTTTCATCACATTCCCAGAGGGTCAAAAGTTTACATACACTCAATTAGTATTTGGTAGCATTGCCTTTAAATTGTTTAACTTGTGTCAAACGTTTCGGGTAGCCTTCCACAAGCTTCCCACAATAAGTTGGGTGAATTTTGGCCCATTCGTCCTGACAGAGCTGGTGTAACTGAGTCAGGTTTGTAGGCCTCCTTGCTCGCACATGCTTTTTCAGTTCTGCCCACAAATGTTCTATAGGATTGAGGTCAGGGCTTTGTGATGGCCACTCCAATACCTTGACTTTGTTGTCCTTAAGCCATTTTGCCACAACTTTGGAAGTATGCTTGGGGTCATTGTCCATTTGGAAGACCCATTTGCGACCAAGCTTTAACTTCCTGACTGATGTCTTAAGATGTTGCTTCAATATATCCACATAATTTTCCTTCCTCATGATGCCATCTATTTTGTGAAGTGCACCAGTCCCTCCTGCAGCAAAGCACCCCCACAGCATGACGCTGCCACCCCCGTGCTTCACGGTTGGGATGGTGTTCTTCGGCTTGCAAGCACCCCCTTTTTCCTCCAAACATAAAGATGGTCATTATGGCCAAACAGTTCTATTTTTGTTTCATCAGACCAGAGGACATTTCTCCAAAAAGTACGATCTTTGTCCCCATGTGCAGTTGCAAACCGTAGTCTGGCTTTTTTATGGCGGTTTTGGAGCAGTGGCTTCTTCCTTGCTGAGCGGCCTTTCAATTTATGTCGATATAGGACTTGTTTTACTGTGGATATAGATACTTTTGTACCTGTTTCCTCCAGCATCTTCACAAGGTCCTTTGCTGTTGTTCTGGGATTGATTTGAACTTTTCGCACCAATGTACGTTCATCTCTAGGAGACAGAACGCGTCTCCTTCCTGAGCGGTATGACGGTGTTTATACTTTGGTACCATTGTTTGTACAGATGAACGTAGTACCTTCAGGCGTTTGGAAATTGCTCCCAAGGATGAACCAGACTTGTGGAGGTCTAAAACATATTTTCTGAGGTCTTGGCTGATTTCTTTTGATTTTCCCATGATGTCAAGCAAAGAGGCACTGAGTTTGAAGGTAGGCCTTGAAATACATCCACAGGTAAACCTCCAATTGACTCAAATGATGTCAATTAGCTTATCAGAAGCTTCTAAAGCCATGACATAATTTTCTGGAATTTTCCAAGCTGTTTAAATGGCACAGTCAACTTAGTGTATGTAAACTTCAGTCGCATTTCTCAGTTCTCACTTGAAACATAGTTTCTGTGTTTAAATGTATCTATGTTTATCCTAGAAAATACATTCCTGAACTCTATTATAATGATGTCCTGTCTGTCTCCAGGTGAAGGGGAAACTCAACCTATGTTCCCCATCTGGGCTGGTGGCTGCAGTGGGAGTGGTGGTGTTGATGGTCGGGATAGCCATGGCTGTACTGGGTTACTGGCCACATGAAGGCCACAGCCAGGGGTATACAACCAGGGTATCACCAGGGGAGGAGCGCACAGGCAACGGCAGGATGAGCTACTCCAAGAGCCCCTTGGTGTCTGCCACCTGGAGCCATAATAAGAACAACAATACAGCCAACCAGACTGTTGGGGAGTTGACCAACCAGACTGTTGGGGAGTTGACCAACCAGACTGTTGGGGAGTTGACCAACCAGACTGTTGGGGAGTTGACCAACCAGACTGTTGGGGAGTTGACCAACCAGACTGTTGGGGAGTTGACCAACCAGACTGTTGGGGAGTTGACCAACCAGACTGTTGGGGAGTTGACCAACCAGACTGTTGGGGAGTTGACCAACCAGACTGTTGGGGAGTTGACCATCCAGACTGTTGGGGAGTTGACCAACCAGACTGTTGTGGAGTTGACCAACCAGACTGTTGGGGAGTTGACCAACCAGACTGTTGGGGAGTTGACCAACCAGACTGTTGGGGAGTTGACCAACCAAACTGTTGGGGAGTTGACCAACCAGACTGTAGGGGAGTTGACCAACCAGACTGTAGGGGAGTTGACCAACCAGACTGTTGGGGAGTTGACCAACCAGACTAGTGTTGTTGTCAATGGAAGTTTACCTGTACTTGTACCTGTTTATGGTAGTGTACCTGGAAGTGTACTTGTATCGGTATCTACCCCTCCTCCTCCTCCTCCTCCTCCTCCTCGTCCCTCAGGTGGGTTATTTCTTTAATAAGATATTTTTACTCACAGAAAATGGTACAAGACAAAACATGAATCAAGTTGTTCATTTTGTCTGCTTTGCTTAGGTGTCTCGCTCTTATCTTGGTCAGGTCATTAGGTAAAGACTTACCTGGTTAAATAAATAAAGTCATTAGTCTCCGCCCTCTGCCTCTTCTTCCAATCCTTCAGGTGGGTTTCTCTCTGACTTCTTGGACAACTATCTGTACTCAGACAACCTGAAGGTGTTTGGCCCCTTAGTAATGGGGATAGGCATATTTATCTTCATCTGTGCAAACGCCGTGCTTCACGAGAACAGAGACCAGAAGACCAAAGTCATCGACCTCAGAGATATCTACTCCACCGTCATCGACCTACACAGCACACGGACCAAGGACTACTCGCCGAGTAACGGACTGGTCAACTACGTGCAGTCCAGAGGCAGTGTTGATGTATACTCAGGGTCTTACAACCCCGGCAGGATACTAGAGCTAGGTTGCAGCTCCTGGCTTTCCAATACCGGGTCCGGCCACCAGGGGGAGTCCGTCAGCGCTGAGCAGCAGTCCAGACGACCATCAATGGCAGGGAGGCAGTGTAGCTGGTCGAGAGACAACCAGACGTTCACAGACACTGTCTACAGTATCTACAGGGACCAGAAGCGCAGGTACTGTACATTTTTGTCTATATGTACAGTTTGTATAGCCTCGTTTTTGACCATCCAGATCATGCAAGATCACAGTCTGTTTCTCTAGATACGTGTAGAAAAATAGAATGTGACCTCGCATGATAATGATGGTTGAACAAGCGTACATTGTATATGTTGCAAAATAAATTACATTAAAGGTTTCTAATCTTATCTATTCAGGTGTTCGGAGCAGGTGCCCTACCCCAGTCAGTGGGACTCAGAGCAGGCCTCGTACCCCAGACAGTGGGAGTCAGAGCAGGCCTCGTACCCCAGTCAGTTGGGACTCAGAGCAGGCCTCGTACCCCAGTCAGTGGGACTCAGAGCAGGCCTCGTACCCCAGTCAGTGGGACTCAGAGCAGGCCTCGTACCCCAGTCAGTGGGACTCAGAGCAGGCCTCGTACCCCAGTCAGTGGGACTCAGAGCAAGGCCTCGTACCCCAGTCAGTGGGAGGGTACAGGCTCCATCGTCTCTTCATCTGTCAACGCTTTCAAGCTCCCCGTCATCAAACTGAACAACTGTGAGGTGGAGGAGGAGAGGGGACAGGCCGAGAGAGAGGAGACAGAGGGTTGCTTGGAGGAAGAGATCATAAAAGTCAAGGATTTTAGTGAAAATGGGATCGAGGAAGAGCAGGTAGCAGGCTACAGTCAAAGTCTGGGCACTAAAGAGAAAGACGCTTCAAGGACTTCATTGAATCCTCAGGAAGCAAATAATCTACGTATGGACCCTACAGACAAGGATGCTTCAAGAAGGGCTTCATCGAATCCTCAGGGACCCTATAATCTAAGTATGGACCCTACAGAGAAGGATGCTTCAAGAAGGAGCTCATTGAATCCTCAGGAAGCAAATAATCTACGTCTGGACCCTACAGACAAGGATGCTTCAAGAAGGGCTTCATCGAATCCTCAGGGACCCTATAATCTAAGTATGGACCCTACAGAGAAGGATGCTTCAAGAAGGGGCTCATTGAATCCTCAGGAAGCCTATAATCTAAGTCTGGACCCTACAGGAAAGGACGCCTTCAGGAGGAGCTCAACCTCGTTGACTCCCCAGGAGTGTACAGAGGTTATAGAAATTACCCTTACTGAACACCAGGGGGGCGCTACAGGGACAGACCCTCACCCCACAGGGCTCACAACTATTCCCCCCCCTCCCACTCTCACGTCTCCAGGGTGATGATGGAGATGGAGTCTCGCCTCACTCAACTCCCTCTCCTGCCCAGGGGGGGACCAGGGGGGGGACCCGCCCAGGTCGGCACGACGATGCAGCCTCACCGTAGCTGTCTGTCGTCGAGGCGACAGGGCCCGGCAGTTCAGCTGTCCACGGGATACATCAAAGTGGAGAGTCCTTCGAGGGAGTGGATGAAGCGACTTCCTGTGTGCCCGACTCGAACCAGGAAGAGGAAAGGGAAGTAGCAGTAGCAGCAGTTCAGGGAGAAGAAGAAGGAGAAGGAGGGGGAGTAACAGTCACCCCCAAGCTCTTCTTTAACCGAACTCTAGACAGATGTCTTGTCATGTTATCATTTTAGACAGATGTCCGACCTACAGAGTCAAGGTGCAGCCTAAAGGAACTCATGAGAGAAGGAGAGCAAGAGAGGGAGTTACAGTAATCCCCAGCTCTTCAACAGATGAACCCTAAATAGTTGTGTGATTGGCATGTCATTTATGATGGATATCAGTAGGAAAAGACAGTGCTCAAACCGATCTAGAGTCAAGCTGCGGCCTGAAGGAACTCAGGAGATCGGGGAGAGGGCGGGATCAGAGTGGAACCCAGTTCTTCGGCAGAACTCTAGACAGATATGACATGTCTTGTCGTGTTATCCTTTTAGACAGAACCCTGTCTTTCCCATTTGTTTGGGATCAAGGCTTTTACTGTAGCAGGGTCTCCACAGCCGATGGCATAGAATGTGGACGCAGGTATATATATATATATATATATAAGACCATTTTTTAGGTCAGAAAGACATGGACACCGTTGACACTTTCAGATCACCGTTGACACTTTCAGATCACCAACAAGAGTAGAATCACACAAACAAATCAACATCTAGCTCAAACTATTCCATTTTTTCATTGTAGCAACAGCAATACTTTGTCTAGAAAAACATAGATATTATTTGTAAAAAATAATAAAAATAAATCACTGTAGCTCTAGTGGAATTACGTTGCTCTGAAATCTTAGTCATTTTAGCAGACGCTCTTATCCAAAGCGGCTTACAGTTAGTGAGGGCATACATTTTTCATACTGGCCCCCCTTGGGAATCGAACCCACAACCCTGGCGTTGCAAGCGCCACGCTCTACCAACTGAGCTACAGGAGGGCCCTGTTGCAGCTACCTACGAGACACGGCCGTGTAGATTTAATGAAACTGTGACACAAAATAAAGCTTTAGTTTAGATAGTGTTTCTAGGTAAATAGTTTCTAGGTATTGCTACGTGCCAGAAATGGAATCTCAGGTAGAATATTGTTCAGATTTCGTGACGGGGTTGAGGTGAAAATTAGGTTTTGACTGTTGATGTATGTTTAATTATGAATAAATAAAGTGGGATCTAATGTAGATGGCCTAATACATTTTGCTGATCTTCGTTGTATATGCTGTACCAAAATAGCAATATTGACATTATTCACGTTATTCAATGAAAATCTAGTCAATTAAAATTGTATTCTAAGCCACACGTCTCTACATCAGTCTAACGTGGCCATCTAGTGGTGAAAATGTGTTATTGCTTCTTCTGCCAACCTCAAGGTATTTTATGAAGCTCTCCTTTCTGTGGGTGTGCTTTTACCAGGGGCGCAACTTTCACTGGGGACGGGGGGACGGGGGGGGACATGTTCCATTTTTGTCCCCCCCCAGTTTTATCATTGGAATGTGATACAAAATGAGGGAATTATGTGCTTTAGGACCATGCGGACGCCTCCGAGCGGTCGGGTAGGCTGTTTGGAGTGTTTATCCGACTGGAAAAAATATATATTTATATATGCCCCCCCCCCCACTTCTAAAACCCAAATTGCGCCCCTGGCTTTTACCAATTACTTTTACCGACAGGTGTGTTTGAAATGAATGGGAACCAATTGAAACCAAGAGAGGCGGCAATAGAGCAGTCGGAGTGTTCTGTAGTAGTAGCAAAGACAGTACAGTATGAAGATAAGGCTAAAACTGCTTTTCCAATAGAAATCCCCGATCACACTTGTAGGCGGGGGCCGGCCAGCTCATTATGCAAGATTAGGCGGCCACCAATGGCAGCAGATTAACGAGGGTGGGGTTTTCTGAGCTAAACTGACCAAGAGACGCACCTCCGACAACACATAAAACCTCACATAACAAAACAATTACAGTTTCTCTCTCAACCGGTGGCATAAGGGCTTTTTGGGTGAACACTGATGCCGCCCTGTGATGAGCAGTGCCCACTTTGTCAAAGGCAGGGATGAAAAATATTTATCTTGTCCATTCCCAGAGTGCTGTTGGAGAGACGCATCGCAACATTCCGCCCATTAAAAAATAATAATGTAACAGATACAGTGGCTTGCGAAAGTATTCACCCCTCCTTGGCATTTTTCCTATTTTGTTGCCTTACAACCTGGAATTAATATTGATTTTTTCGGGGGGTTTGTATCATTTGATTTACATAACATGCCTACAACTTTGAAGATGCAAAATAATTGTTTTTGTGAAACAAACAACAAATAGGACAAAAAAACTGAAAACTTGAGCGTGCATAACTATTCACCCAATACTTTGTAGAGCCACCTTTTGCAGCAATTACAGCTGCAAGTCTCTTGGGGTATGTCTCTATAAGCTTGGCACATCTAGCCACTGGGATTTTTGCCCATTCTTCAAGGCAAAACTGCTCCAGCTCCTTCAAGTTGGATGGGTTCCGCTGGTGTACAGCAATCTTTAAGTCATACCACAGATTCTCAATTTCCCTCAAGAATTTCCCTGTATTTAGCGCCATCCATCATTCCTTCAATTCTGACCAGTTTCCCAGTCCCTGCAGATGAAAAACATCCCCACAGCATGATGCTGCCACCACCATGCTTCACTGGTGTTCTCGGGGTGATGAGAGGTGTTGGGTTTGCACCAGACATAGCCTTTTCCTTGATGGCCAAAAAGCTCAATTTTAGTCTCATCTGACCAGAGTACCATCTTCCATATGTTTGGGGAGTCTCCCACATACCTTTTGGCAAACACCAAACGTGTTTGCTTATTTTTTTCTTTAAGTAATGGCTTTTTTCTGGCCACTCTTCCGTAAAGCCCAGCTCTGTGGAGTGTACGGCTTAAAGTGGTCCTATGGACAGATACTCCAATCTCCCCTGTGGAGCTTTGCAGCTCCTTCAGGGTTATCTTTGGTGTCTTTGTTGCCTCTCTGATTAATGCCCTCCTTGCCTGGTCCGTGAGTTTTGGTGGGCGGCCCTCTGTTGGCAAGTTTGTTGTGGTGCCATATTCTTTCCATTTTTTAATAATAGATTTAATGGTGCTCCGTGGGATGTTCAAAGTTTCTGACATTTTTTTATAACCCAACCCTGATCTGTACTTCTCCACAACTTTGTCCCTGACCTGTTTGGGGCGCTCCTTGTCTCTTCATGGTGCCACTTGCTTGGTGGTGCCCCTTGCTTAGTGGTGTTGCAGACTCTGGGGCCTTTCAGAACAGGTGTATACAGTGAGGGAAAAAAGTATTTGATCCCCTGCTGATTTTGTACGTTTGCCCACTGACAAAGACATGATCATTCTATAATTTTAATGGTAGGTTTATTTGAACAGTGAGAGACAGAATAACAACAAAAATATCCAGAAAAACGCATGTCAAAAATGTTATAAATTGATTTGCATTTTAATGAGGGAAAAAGTATTTGACCCCTCTGCAAAACATGACTTAGAACTTGGTGGCAAAACCCTTGTTGGCAATCACAGAGGTCAGACGTTTCTTGTAGTTGGCCACCAGGTTTGCACACATCTCAGGAGGGATTTTGTCCCACTCCTCTTTGCAGATCTTCTCCAAGTCATTAAGGTTTCGAGGCTGACGTTTGGCAACTCGAACTTTCAGTTCCCTCCACAGATTTTCTATGGGATTAAGGTCTGGAGACTGGCTAGGCCACTCCAGGACCTTAATGTGCTTCTTCTTGAGCCACTCCTTTGTTGCCTTGGCCGTGTGTTTTGGGTCATTGTCATGCTGGAATACCCAGCCACGACCCATTTTCAATGCCCTGGCTGAGGGAAGGTGGTTCTCACCCAAGATTTGATGGTACCTGGTCTGTCCATCGTCCCTTTGATGCTGTGAAGTTGTCCTGTCCCCTTAGCAGAAAAACACCCCCAAAGCATAACGTTTCCACCTCCATGTTTGACGGTGGGGAGGGTGTTCTTGGGGTCATAGGCAGCATTCCTCCTCCTCCAAACACGGCGAGTTGAGTTGATGCCAAAGAGCTCCATTTTGGTCTCATCTGACCACAACCCTTTCACCCAGTTCTCCTCTGAATCATTCAGATGTTCATTGGCAAACTTCAGACGGGCCTGTAAATGTGCTTTCTTGAGCAGGGGGGCCTTGCGGGCGCTGCAGGATTTCAGTCCTTCACGGCGTAGTGTGTTACCAATTGTTTTCTTGGTGACTATGGTCCCAGCTGCCTTGAGATCATTGACAACATCCTCCCGTGTAGTTCTGGGCTGATTCCTCACCGTTCTCATGATCATTGCAACTCCACGAGGTGAGATCTTGCATGGAGCCCCAGGCCGAGGGAGATTGACAGTTATTTTGTGTTTCTTACATTTGTGAATAATCGCACCAACTGTTGTCACCTTCTCACCAAGCTGCTTGGCGATGGTCTTGTAGCCCATTCCAGCCTTGTGTAGGTCTACAATCTTGTCCCTGACATCCTTGGAGAGCTGTTTGGTCTTGGCCATGGTGGAGAGTTTGGAATCTGATTGATTGATTGCTTCTGTGCACAGGTGTCTTTTATACAGGTAACAAGATGAGATTAGGAGCACTCCCTTTAAGAGTGTTGTCAGGTTTGAGTGTAGAGGTGGTGTAGAATCAGGCGCAGGACACACAGAGGTTACGAACAGCGTCTTTAGTAAAGTCCAAAATGAGCCAAACACGGCAACAGGCTACAGGCGAACTTTACGCACAACAGTAAAGTATGCTAAGGCGCACAAAGTGCGGAACTCTCTCTCAAAACACAAAATAC